CTTGAAACTTCAAAACTCAATTGAATTCAAATTCAAAGTTTTATATATAAGACTTATATAAGTGTCTCAATTCGAATTATAAATTTATAATTAGGATAAAATTTTATCTTTTGCTTTTTTGCCAGACTAATATAAGTGTCTAAATTCGAATTATAAATTTATAATTAGGATAAAATTTATCTTTTGCTTTTTTGCCAGACTAATATAAGTGTCTCAATTCGAATCATAAATTTATAATTAGGATAAAATTTATCTTTTGCTGTTTTTGCTACTTCGAGAGGCGTGTATTGTTGGTGAAAGTTTTGCTTTTTGCTTTTTGCCTGTTGGAACATGAAAGCCGTTTTTTTTTTTTCATTTATATTCGAACTCGAATTAGACATCTACTCATATTTTCATATTTAAATAAACAATATAATAGAAAAATACAGAAAGAAACTATTGTCAGATGACTTCAAATCTGTTCATTATCATTTCTTTTCATTAATTCTTTCACTGTTACTATAATTTAGGCACATCATATTGTTTAATTAGCATATCCTGTGAATTAATAAGTGTATCTATAAGGATGAGAGTGTACTTAAACTACGGAGATACTCCAAAATAATCTCTTTTTTTTCATACACTTGAGGCATGGGCAAGCAAATTTTCACGAAAAATTCCAATATTTCATTCAATATTTGATAATTAGCAAAGTATTAATTTCATCTGTACCTAGACGGTTGCTTTTTGAATAACCCAAAAATGACAAAAGATATTCACCTGCGGTTTTTAATGATGGAAAAGAGACATCCTAGGCTATCTTTTCACAGCAAACTCAATTTCTGAAAACGCCTAGAAGCTGGGTTTTCTGGAAATCCACGGTTTTGCTTAAAAGTTTCGGACAAAAACATATTGTTTGTTTTCATAAATAGATAGTCCTGTGTGTCCTTTACAACTCCAGATTGAAATACAAGGTTATTTTTGCTTCTTGAACTGCCTGCAGATGGTTCTCCAGAGGTTTCGGATTTTGGTACGTTGACCTCTGATCAGTAAAATACACCTATATAGGAGATAGTTCACTATCCTAAGTCGACTGGCGACGTTTTTCGTTACAACATCGAAATACCTGGTATAGTGGTAGCTATACTCACTCATTCTCAAAGAAAAAAATTAAAAGTATTTGGCATTATGTTACTGATAAAATTCATAACTAACTGGATAATTTCCACTCATTTTTTGCATATGTGAATAAGACTCATATGTATAATAGGATAAAGCTTGTTTAGTAGGTGATGAACTTGTATCAGACGCTGATGCTGAAGATGCTTGATTGACCATATATTGTCTTGTTGTATCTGGAAAATATGGTTGCGTTGAATACGACCAATATCCATTTGATATTGAAATAGAAGAAGTATAATCATTATTTGTGGAATTAGATATGCTGTCCAGTATGATGAAGATTAGTTTTATTATTACCATTGGATAATGAACTAATAGTTGAATCATATATTCCAGCAGCTGTCATTGTATCAAAAAGATTAAAGTTTGGTATTTTCATTGATGCTAATGGATGAGTGTAGAATGATAAATAATCACCTGATTGACTAGCTTCGGTTTGTTCCATTTTTGGAATGGGAAAGTCACTGACTTTTTTGAAGTTGATTTCGAGAATGATTTAATTTTGTAGCATTAGGTCTTTATGAGGGAACGACTCCATATATTCTACTTTATTCAAAAAATAAAGACAAGCAAAAACAGAAAAACACATCATTTAAATACATGCAACGCGAGCAGAAAAAGATAAGGCTTGAGTGACATGCTATTTAAAATTGATGAATTTCGATAATGTCCTTTTTGTTGTATTGCTTGTTGATGTCAATGATGATTATTTGATGATTGTTATTTAAAACGACGACGACGACGTTGTCGTAAAAATGTGCCATTTTCACGCATATCATATAAATGAGGATGCAACACCCAATAACTTCCTTTACCTATTTATGAAAAATAACTAAAAAAGTTCGTATTTTATGTCGGTATGGTCTCAAGTATAGAAAATCATAATTCGAATTGCAACATTTCCATGCCATGGCAACTCTCGAAAACTGCCCATAGAGCTAGAATGAATACTTGAAGTGTAGTTGACGTATCTTCTTCATAGCACTTTGAAGATTAAGAATAAACTCACGCCGAATAAGCTCATTTTATTCCTCTTTCATATCACTACAAAGCGCATATTTTTGTATCTTTCAAATCCTACGTTGTTACTAGAAAATTTGCTAAGGAGTGAAAAAAGTACAAATACGTTTATTAGGAAATATAATTTTTTCGAAGAGAAAAGCTTTAACGAAAAACATTAACATAGTCATTTTGTAGCGCTTGAAAAGACGAGTATGATGAGCCTATTGAATATGAGTTTATTTTAAGCCTTTGAAAATATTGGGTGATGCATAAAGAATGACGGTCTCAGTATTTTATCGATATCTTCTTCAATTTTAATCGTTCATATTTCAGCTTAGTTTTCAAAGATTCCTCGTGCGATTCTCTAAAATACGAGTCACTGTAGAGAATCGCATGAGGAGTCTTTTAAAACTAAGCCGAAATATGAGCGATTAAAATTGAAGAAGGTATCGATAAAATACTGTGACCGTCATTCTTTATGCGCCACCCTATATTATGAAGAATATACGTTAAGGGTAAGACAAATATTTGCTCTTGATATAGTGAGTGGTTTTTGATCGGTCCATATGATATATGTTCGATTCTCCGATCTTTATCAAGAACTTTTGTTTGATTACAGGAATCTCGGCAAAAAGAAGATTTCTCGAACTTTTTTTATTCAAGATTTGACGAATTACAATGAAACACCAAGAAAAGCTAATCGATACTCTCTTTCAACGAACTAAATTGCAAAGTACATTGCAATAACTGCTATTGAAAAAACTTAACAGAACTATATATTTCAAAATCAATATTTTTCCAGACTAAGATGATTTGATAGGTTATAGAGTGTAAAAGAAATCATTCTTAAGTGCCCATCAAACACTACAACAGATTCTTTAAAATTCATAATTTTTTTTGCAAATTTTATTTTTTCGTAGACTCAACCTAAGTTTTTGTTTTTTTGGAGTGATATTATCAATCGTAGTGTTCAACTATTGGATGAAACCTTACTGAAAATTCTTAATCCATTTGACTTCGTAAAAAAATGTCTCTTAAAAGGTACATTCAGTCATAAGAGCTTGAAATATCCTATCAATCTATGAATTCTCAAAGTATTACATGAGTGAATTTTTGATTTACATTAATTTGGTCAAAAGAATAAATGTTGAGAGTTATTTTAATTCAACTTCCTGTCCTCACATTTTCCAACATTACTCGGAAACCTACAAGAGGAGTTATATATTACACTTATTTTAATGCAATAATACGTTCTTTTCAATAGTTGAAATGATTATATATTGTTTAGAAAGTATCGATATTATATTAGCTCTGTAATCGAATGTCAATATTTAACAAACCTGGTTGTTTCTCATTTCGTGCAACTTTAATAAAAGACTCATTGAATACTAAACTATATCGAATAGATCGTTGCCATTCTGCTTGATTTTCTCGATAATACTAGAGAAAAAAAATTAAAATCATTATTTCATATTTTCATTAAATACTTACAGGATAATGATCCATAATATATTGATAAATACCATTTACAGTACATTTTTGATCTGGACTATTTTGTATAGCTAATATTATTAATCCCATATAACTTATAGGTGGTTTAGTCATTTGTTTGGTAGAATTAACCGTTGCCATTGCACAAGAATATGCAGCCGCTGATGAACGCGATAATAAATGAAATGCAGCTTGAAGTGTAAGTCAATCGGCTAACCTTTCACCGCTGACAATTTTGCAGAAAAAAGTGCAGTCGTCGCTGCCGAGAAAGAAAATTTTAAAAATTTTTCAGCCGCCGCTGCCGAGAAAGAAAATTTTAAAAATTTTTCAGTCGCCGTCGCTGCCGTCGGTCAACCGAGAGGGTTACACCTCGATTCTCAGTAGTTCCATAAAATAAGTGTACTTTTCTATTCTACCTGTCTCAATTAAAAGTTGATATTGATCGTTATTTGATTCAAAATCGAACAATAAAAATATTAATTTTATATGACATGATTAAAAAATAAAAACTCAATCACGTTTTCGTAGTATGTGCAACTCAAAATTCTTCGACATCTTCAACTATATCTTCATTTGCATGAAAATATTTTTCCTCACATGAAACATAATTTTCGATGAAGTTTGTGAGCGAGTCTATACCAAATTTAGAATAACTTCGTGAAAATTTAGTTCAAAAACATACACTCAGTCTGGTGACATGTGCAGATCCGGTTGTCGATGAAGATGAAAATTACTTGAAATTAGATATCAGTTGCAATAACGTATTTCGATTTTG